GCCTCCCGGAGACGGTGGGCGGCGAGTGGCGCTTGGGGACCGCACCGCCCGCAGAAACTCCACGCGCTTCCGCGGATGCCCGGGACCGACGACCGCGCGCTCCGCGTTGGGGGCCCTGCGGGGCGCCCCCTTCCCCCGCGATCCTTCCATCGCCGGGCTCCGGTGGGCTTTGGGGCCTCCTCCCTCCTCTCCCCTTTTTCTCTCCTTTTAACCCTCTTCTGAGCTCCGCCAAGGGGCACACTTGACCTTCCTCCTTCTCCTCTGCCTCCTCCCTGGGGGCTCTGCCAAGGAACGAACGGGGCCAGGGAGCGGGCATGTGGGGCTCCCCTTGACAGTGGCCAGGTTTGCGTGACTCGCGCCCAAATGGCCAAGTGGCTAAGGGACTACCTGAGCTTTGGCGGTCGGAGGCCCCCTCCGCAGCCGCCCACCCCTGACTACACGGAAAGCGACATTCTGCGGGCCTACCGGGAGCAGAAGAACCTGGACTTCGAGGACCCCTACGAGGACGCGGACAGCCGCCCAGACCCAGACCCCGCGGGCCCCGGCGACGCCAAATACGATTCTCCCAAACACCGGCTCATCAAGGTGGAGGCAGCCGAGATGGCCAGAGCCAAGGTCTTGCTGGGCAGTGCAGGGGAAGAGGTGAGTGGCCAAGTGTCCCAGGCCGAGTGGTCCCAGGAGACTGGGCCGAGAGGGCAGGGCTGGGCCCCTGGACTCTGGGGAGCGTTTTAACTGTGTGACCCCAGGGGCAGGCCAGGGCGCCAGCCAGATACTCCCTAGTCCTCCATCTGCTGGGCGAGAAGTTTGATATCTGTCCCTTTTCAGTGCACAGTGCTAGTCACACCTACCTGCTTTGTCCCCTGTCCTTCCGCTCTGTTCCACCCTTCGGCAGCTGGAGGACTCGTCCTAAAACAGACCTGAGGGATTCCCTCCCCTGCCGGGCACTAACCTTCCTCACCGCTGCTCCTGCGTGTCTCTGCCATTAGTGGAAACAGGCTCACAGACGAGGAGCCAAGCGACTTGCCCAAGGTCACAGGGCTCTAGATCCAGACCTGGCCCCTGTGATCCTCTCCTGGAGGATCCCCGCAAACCCTCCATGGGGCCGGAGAACGGCTGGGGCCGGGTTAGGAGAGGCTGTGTCGGGTGGTGGGTGACGGCACAGAGAAAGGCAGGAGGAGGCAGGGATCTGGGGAAGCAGACAGCCTGGGATCTAAACCTGCCTCTTACTTACCGGCTCTGTGACCCTGAGCAAGTCCCGTGCCCTCTCTGTGCCTTGGGGTTAATGTGCTTGCTGTGTGTTGGTATGACAAGTAAACACATGTAAAGCATTTAGAACAGGGCTGGCAGCTGATAAACATTAAAATTGCGGGGGTCTATGTCAGGTGAATCAGAACTGCGTGGAGCCGACGTGTCACATGGCCCCCAGAGGGCAGGCCGAGGCTGTGCCATCGCCCAGCGAGGCTACCCGGAGCCAGCCTTGGTCCTCCTGAGCCTGTGCCCCTCACTTTTCCTCTCTCCCCAGGCAGAAGTTGACACCGAGTACTCGGACCCCTTTGATGCCCAGCCTCCTCCGCCACATCCGGATGACGGCTACATGGAGCCCTACGATGCCCAGCGGGTCGTGAGTGGTGAGTGGGCAGGGCTTGGGGGAGGGTGACAGGGTCCCGGGTGGGAGTGGGAGCTGACCAGTCTCTCTGGCCTCCCAGAACTGCCGGGCAGAGCAGTGCAGCTGTACGACACGCCCTACGAAGAGCACGAGGAGGACCCCGCAGATGGGCCTTCTTCAGAGCAGAGGCCCCGACAGAGCCGGCTGCCCCGGGAGGACGAACGGCCGGCGGATGAATATGACCAGCCTTGGGAGTGGAAGAAAGATCACATCTCCAAGGCTTTTGCAGGTGCTTCTCCGACCCCGGCCTTGACCTCGGAATGCCCGAATTCCTCTCTTTCCTATCCTGGTCACGTCCCCTGCTTCAACTTACAAAGCAGACCCCCAATCATCTGCCACTTTGGTAGTTTATTGATTTTCACTAAGCTGTGGATGACTGATAGGCATGAGTTCCTCTTTCCAGAAGAAACTGTATCTTTCTTAGAAACTGAAACATCTTTTTAGAGTACAATGGAACCTACTCGTTCTGCTCAGTATAGTGCAGGGAAAGGCTTTGGTGTCAGACTAGGCCTGGGTTTGTGTCACTTACTTGAGAAAATCGCTTAATCTCCCCGAGTCTCATTCCCTTGCCTGTAAAATGGGGGCCATTACAGTACCCACCGCGTAGGGTGCTTGGAAATTTGAGGGCCGGAAAATGCTCAATTACATAGGAGTTGGGTGAGAGAGTAGCATTTCTTAGTAGCTGTCATCAGGTAGACTTGGGTGAACTTGGGCAAGTCCCCAGACTTGCTTCTTCTGTCCAAGGGGTACTGGTAAGTTCAGCCTTAAGAGATAATATAACTTGGACCAGGAAGAGTTGTGCGGACTCAACTTTGCCTCATAAGTCGTATGACTGGGAGGGGGATTGGGGCTCATTGCCTCAGTTTACTGGTCTGTATATTGGGGTTGGTGCTCCAGTTCTAAGACGGACCCCGATTGGGACGGAACGTCCAACACCCCTCTAGCCACGCCCCCTGCTCTCTGATTTGTCACTCGTGGAACTGCCCCGCCCTTCCACGCGGCCAGCCTCGAGGGTGACCACGCCCCCTTTTTCTGAAGGCCGGTTGGGTGGTCCTGTACCAATCCTGCCCCAGCCTTACACCCAACCCCTCCTCTTCTGGATTCTGATAGGTCTCCCCATTGACACCATCTTCCTACTGAGAGTCCACTGGATCGCCCCCGCCCCGCCCCTCCCAGGCAGGTTGGACTTAACCCTTTCCTCTCTAACCCTCCCCTTCCAGTGCAGTTTGACAGTGCGGAGTGGGAAAGGACCTCAGGCTCAGCCAAGGAGCTCCGGAGACCCCCGCCCAGGGGCCCCCAGGCCGCAGAGCGTGTGGGCCCGGCCTTGCCCCTCGAGAAACAGCCGTGAGTGGGGAAACGGAACACCGAAGAGCCGGTCGAATCTCTCCCTGCCCCACACCAGCTGCAGATTTCCTGGACTAGGGGGGCTGGAGGACCTTTGACCCATTTATTCACTTTACTTATTTCTTCAGCTAATCTTAATCCGGCGCCAGCGCCTGCTGTGTCAGACACCCAGCTAGGTGCAAAGCAGAATCAGATGGAAACAGTTCCCTCTGGAATCAGATACTGGGTTCAAATACCTGCTTTGTATCTCCTGGCTGTTTTGGCAAGTAATTAAACTTTTCCGAGCCTCGGGCTCAAAATCCCCAAGGGGGTACCTAACTCAAAAAGGGATCTCCTCTCTTCTCTTGGACGGGGTTTACAAGCCTGAGAGCAGAGACAAATTATTCTCAGCCCCAGGAAATCTCGGGATGAAACTGGGAAGGGCAGAATTTTGAGCAGGTGCTGACTTTGGGCAGGGATGAGGCGCAGAAGCCGAAAGGGTCTGGGTCTTCTCTGTGTCCTTCCAGCCTAGGGGCTCCTGGAGGAACTCCCTAAACCCCCCCGGAGCCCAGCCCTGTGGGTGTGTTTGTCACTGTCATACGCAAACCTCTTAGGTAGGCGAGACAGACCTGGCTAATTAACACTGAAGGCCGGGGTGAGAAGTTCATTCTCTTTCAAATTTTCTTTCAATACAAACAACCACCGAGCCTCTGCTGCTCACAGTCTCTGACACCTTGGCCACAATTGCTACCTCTTTGAGCACATTAAAGGAAAATAGTTAAGACTGGTACAGGTGGATGCGGATGGATACAGGATGTGGCAAATCTCGTGACATGCAAGCGATTCGAGTTGGGGGATTGGAGAGGGGGCTGAGGACGCCTGGGGATCCAGCCTAGGGAAGCTGTTAAGGTCAAGGTCGGGTGTACGTGTTGAATTGGAGGGTGCAGCTCCGCGTTGACCTGGGGCTCAGCTGCCTCCCTAGGAAAACCAGGCTCCTCTTGAGAAACCCGAGGGAATTCTTCTCTCTCATTAGCCTGCAGTTCACTAGCCCTTGCCCCAGACCCCAGAGTGTATTTGAAGGGGAATCGCCCTTCTTGAGGCATCTGCCCCCGCACCCTAGGTGGTTTCACGGCCCCCTGAGCCGGGCGGATGCGGAGAACCTCCTGTCGCTCTGCAAAGAAGGCAGCTACCTCGTGCGGCTCAGCGAGACCAGCCCCCAAGACTGCTCCCTGTCCCTCAGGTGAGACCCCAGCCCCCTAGAGGGACAGAGGGTCACAGGACTGCATGCTTCATACTTTCTTTCGGTGGGAGCCGAGGGGCGTGGCTCTAGCAGCCAGTGGACAGGCTTTCTGGCCGATGGGTGGGCCTTATGGGACCAGTGGGTGGGGCTTCCAGGGAGACCATCAGCGTGGTTCCAACTGAGAATGAACTCCCTGTCACTGGAGGTATGCAAGAAGGTGGAGTGGAAGCCTTACAGACGATCTAGGACTCTGGCGAAGTGGGGAACCAGATGTCAGTTTCCTTTGGACTCCCCCCCCTCCCCCCCCGTCCAAAAGTTAAAGTATATCCATTTGTGTCTGTCGGAGGCCGAAATCTGAGTGGCCCTGCAGGCATTTGAGTCTGAGACCCCGGTTTCCGTGTGCTTCTCTAAGATTCCAGGCTTGCCTGATTGTGCAAAACTTCCAAGATTCTGCTAGGCATCTGAGTGCGAGATTCCTCAAAGGCCAAAACCGAGGGCTTTGGAGGCAGGTTCGAATCCTGCCTCCGCCACTTTCTAGCTGTGCGACCTTGGCTAAATTACTCAGCCTCTCTGGGTCTTGGTTGCCTCATTTGTGAAGGGAGGATCATAATAACATCCACTTAGCGGCAATGATTAAATGGAAAAAAAAAAAACGTGACAAAATGTTGAGAACGGTGCCCCAGAAACAGGAAGTGCTCAATTCAGATTAATAATGTTGATAAAATGATCCCCAGGTTCTGTCACTGCACCCACCAGAGGTGGAGAGAAAGGGAAGGGACCCCAGATTGGAGGTTAACTAGTGGGGAGGCTGGGGGCGAGGGAGCACTAGGCTCAGGAGGTTTGGAGAAAGTGTGGTCCGTGCTCCGGGGGAGGGACTGTCACCTGGCAGGACCTCCAGCCTGCTTTGGTAGGGGACAAGCCACTGTAGAACAAGCCGACACCTTGGCACCAAATGGCTGTTTATCAGAAATATTTGGGGACGCCGGCGCCTGGCTTCCAGGGGCCACGAGGTAGCTTCAGGGTCAGAGAACATGCGTGGGGCTGGGGTGCTCAAGGCCCCGTGTGATGCCGTCCCTCAGAAGCAGCCAGGGCTTCCTGCATCTGAAGTTCACACGGACCCGGGAGAACCAGCTGGTGCTGGGTCAGCACAGCGGCCCCTTCGCCAGTGTCCCCGAGCTGGTGCTGCACTACAGCTCACGCCCGCTGCCCGTGCAGGGTGCTGAGCACTTGGCCCTGCTGTACCCGGTGGTCACACAGAGCCCCTGCCCCGGAGCCCCTGCCCCTTGCCCTTCCCCCTGAGGGCTAAGAGCCACTGGCCAGCACCCCAGAGGATTCCCCTCGAGGGGGCCAGAGGGAGAGACCTCCTACCCTTCCAGCCCTGGTCTTCATCAAGGCCGCCCTCCTGGTCCCATTCTGGGTTCCGGGGTTTACGACTATGTCTGGAAGCCCTCCTCTGGCCTGAAAAATAAATAAGTTATTGTATGTTTCAAGTGTCCTTTCTGGGAGGCCAGGATCCCAGCTCCTGGGAAGGATGAGAATGATGGACCCTTGAGGGTCAGGGTCTTCCTGGCTCCTCGTTTTGGGGATGGAGCTGGGGTTGGAGCCTGAATTGCTTGCAGGGAGGGACCACAACTCAGAAAGCCAGAGACGGTGGAGACCGGCAGATAAAAAAGATGGAGAATCCGCGGGGGCGAGGCTCTCAGGCCAGCCCCGCCCCCTCCAGCCCCCTCCTCCCCGTGGGGCAGGCGGCCGAGGCCTGATGCGGCTGCTGGAAGGACATCTGTCCCCATGGAAACGGCAGTCGTGGGGGAGGGGAGCCGGGCCCAGCTGGTGTCACTTCAAGGTGACAGTCAGGCAAGAGCCCCTGGAGGCTGATAAAGGCGGGGGAGCCCCAATCTTCCTCCTCATCCCCATCTCTGAGCCTGTCTGGAAGGAGATACTAGCTGGAGAGGGGGGCTTCCAGTTCGGGGCACAATTTGAAAGCTGGGGACATCGCTTCTTTGCTAATTGGACATGTACCTCCACGGATAACGGGGGAGCCGGTGAGTCGCCACAGAGCCCCCTTGCCACGGTGGGTCTCTCTAGCCATCCTGTGGGGCTGGGACCCCCAGATGACCCCTTGAATCTTTTTAACACCCCCAAATGCCATGGAGTCTGGGTTTGTTTTCTTTGTACACCTTTATCGGGTATTCTGGAGGCGTACTCGATGAGGACGGGGTCTGGGGACGGCTGCTGGCACCCCGACACCCCTAGACCCAGTTACATCTTTACATAGCCACTCCTCTCTGGATCTCTGGGGTCCTGACTCCTCTTCCCAGTTCAAGGAACCCTCTTGGCCTTGGCTACCCAGAGGAGCCTGGGAAAGGAGAGGTTCTGAGTGTGGAGACGGGGCGACCGGGCCTGGGACTGGGGCACGGTTTGGGGGCCAGACGCTGCTGGGGGATGGGTGGCTGGGGGAAGGAGATGGCATAGAAGCTCTCGTGCTTCTGGTTGACCGTGGGGATGTCCAGCGCCTTCCCCTCCACAGGCCATGCCTCAGTCTTCCGTGGGGGTCCCCTGGGCTTGTATAGGACGTTACTGTAGATAGGGTTATCTGTGTATTTGGGGAGGGGGGCGTGATACAGACCAAGAAGACACAGTCACTTAAGAGACCTAGCCCTTCCTTCCCAGCCCGTCTCTGGGAGCCTCGTCTCTGCTTCTGAAAAGCGAGGATGGAGCGATGGGCCTTCTCCGGCTCCTCCCAGTCCCGCCCTCCCTCCCTGCGGAAGGGGTAAATGGGGACACAGATGGTCCTTCTCAAGCAGCGGCAGTTCCCGCCTCCTCCACGCGGGGGCGGGGTCGCCAGAGGATGGTGGCGCCTCGGCACCATTCGCCCTCCGCGCGGCCACCTGCGCCCTTACCTGTGTCCTTGTGCCGGCTGCGGTGGCGGCCCCAGAGCCAGGTGCCCAGCGCGACAGCGGCC